AAAAAAAAAAAAAAAAAAAAAAAAAAAAAAAAAAAAAAAAAAAAAAAAAATATATATATATATATATATATATATATTCTCTTAATTTATTTGTGAATTAATTAACTAATATATAATTAATTGTATATATTAAATAAATTAATAATAATTCGTTTTTAGAAATGAAAAAATAAATTACTTATTTACTAAAACTATTAATTACTTAACTAATAAGTATAATTAATTAAGAAATTAGGGTTCATTATTAATTATTATTATTAATTACTTATTGTTTATTTACAACCAACACTAATTTTAATTACTTCTTCACATAACATAAACACAATTAATTTATTCACATTAAATTTATAATTAATAATAATATATTATGATTAATTAAAATTAAATAAATATTTTATTGTAATAAATTATCATAAGATTTATAAGATTATATCATTTAAATTAATTTACTATATATTTTATAATAAATTAAAACTAAAATTTTAATAGTTTTTCTATAAAAATAAAAATAAAATAATTAACAAAAAAAAAATCACAAAAATATTATTTATTTTATTTTTTATTATCAAATATTATCTAAATTATAATGATAAAAATATTTCACCAACAATGAAAGCGACAGAAAACAAGAAGGAATTTGCAGAGAAAAGTAATGGTGATTTTCAGGGGAACTAACCTGAAATTGCGTCAGTAATTTCCTCGGCGTGTTCATTCCAATTTCCAGTTCTTATATAAACGGATCCATTGTTCTTCATCTTCTTCACACTTTCTTTTCTAATTCTATCCTCTTCTTCAGAAACTCTGTTTTTGTTCAGACAGATCCGATGACGAATGGAAAGAGCATTGTTCTCGACGTCTCTGGTTGGCTCAGGCTTTTCGACGACGGCTCCGTCGACCGGACCTGGACTGGACCGCCAGAGGTCAAGTTTGTGGCGGAGTCTGTGCCGCCTCACGACGACTTCATCGATGGAGTCGCCGTTCGCGACTTGGTGATTGATCGGGAGTCCGGTCTCTGTGTTCGGATTTATCTGCCTGAGGTGAAATGCAGCGGCGGAGAGAAATTGCCGGTTGTTGTTCATTTTCACGGCGGTGGATTTTGTATTAGCGAAGCGGATTGGTTTATGTATTATCATACTTACACCGACGTCGTGAAATCCGCCGAAGCAATTTGTGTGTCTGTTTACCTTCGCCGAGCGCCAGAGCATCGTCTTCCCGCGGCTGTCGACGACGGCTTCTCCGCTCTCAGGTGGTTGCAATCGGTGGCTCTAGGTCACGAAATCGAGCCTTGGATTACCGAAAATGCGGATTTCAATCGCGTTTTCCTAATCGGAGATAGCTCTGGCGGAAATCTGGTTCACTCTGTCGCTGCCCTAGCTGGAGAAGCCGATCTCGCTCCAGTGAAACTCGCCGGTGGAATTCCGATTCATCCTGGTTTCGTTCGATCCGAACGAAGCAAGTCGGAGATCGAGAATCCACAATCGCCGTTCTTGACTCTGGATATGGTAGACAAATTTCTGAGCCTCGCACTACCGGAAGGGAGTACGAAGGATCATCCAATTACATGTCCAATGGGAGCCAACGCGCCGCCGCTTGAAACCCTAAATCTGCCGCCATTTCTTCTGTGCATCGCAGAGAAGGATCTGATCATCGACACCGAAATGGAGTATTACAGAGCAATGAAGGCAGCAAATAAAGAAGTAGAGATTCTGATGAGCAAAGGAATGGGACATAGCTTCTATCTCAACAAGATCGCCCTCAAAATGGACCCCGAAACAGCTGCCGCATCGGACCACCTCTTCGCCGGAATCGCTCGCTTCATCAAGCAGCATTAACAACGTTTTCCAGTGAATCCTTGGATCCCCTCCGCCGTGGACGGTGAATGTCATCTATACTTGCTCTACCGTAAAAAAAACACAACACATCTAGTTCTTATTTTCATCATCATTTAGTAAAGTTAATAAAAACTTTTCCCTAATTCTCAACCATATTTCTTAGAACAAAATATTTATTATAAGCAGCGGAAACCTCTCTAAATAGACGCATTTTAAAACGGTAAGGTTTGCTTGAGCTGTTACAAATGATATCAAAGCCAGAGACATTGGCTGATGTGTGAAAATCTCACTTTAATATACGTTTTAAAACTTTGAGACGAATGACAGTATGTAACAGGTCAAAATAGACCATATTTACTAGAAGTGTCAAAACAGACGATCTACTAGAAGTGGGCTTGAGTTGAGTAAATAAAAAAAAAAAAAGGATTGTAACTAATGAATTTGGAGGATTACAAGGAAAAGGTTCCAAATTCCCATGCAAAAGAACTCTCGAGAAGTCACTGTAATGGTCCCAAAAATTAGTTAGCATTCTTGTACCCTATTTTCATATTTGTTCTCATTACTTTTGTCTTTTATTAGTTGGAAATGTAAGAGGTGCTCGATTATATTGTAATATTAAAATTTTAATTTGTTATTTGAACATTATATTTTTTCTTTTAAAATATTATTAACCTTATAAGAATATTTTACCATTTTAATAGAAATTAGATTGAAAAATGAAAAATTATTAATTAAAGAGTACTTTAAAAGGTATATAAAAAATATTTAAAATAGAAAAAATTATGTACAAATTCTCTCTCTCACGAAAATAAATAGAGAATTTTGTAAAAATAAAAATAAAAATAGAAAGCGTTGAAGTGAATATCAACCAACCTAACACTTAGACTATAGTTGAATATCAACCACGGCTTGATATTCACTTCTACGCTTAGATTTTGTGTGAACGTTGCTCGTTGACACTTTATTGTGCCCCGTGAACCCTACAAACACTTATACTTCTATAAAAAAAAAAAAAAGCAAACGAATATCAACCACGACTTCAACTAAGCATAATGTGATTCATATTTTAAGAAAAATGGGAAAAGAATATTTCAATATCTAATTGTGTGGTCTCTACAATATTGGTCAAATGCAAACACAAAAGCATATACAGTTATTGTGATTTTTAAAATGTGATTTTTGACTAAATTATTGTAAGGTAAGACATCGCATCATTCATTTTTGAAATCTAATTGATGGTGTTAAAAAAAATCGGATCTAACTCAACTTAACTTATACTGTTTGGACTGGATTATCAACTTATTTAAATT